GGGGCGTCGATAGACACAGGTGCAGGCAAGTGTCCTGCATGCCTGGGGTGGTCTGCGCACAGGCAGCCTAGAGAGGAGAGAGAGAGACACTCCCTAGAGGCAGGGGGTTTGAAGATGACAGGGAGGGAAGGAGGGAGGGGGGGAGGGACAAGGTGAGAGCAGCGGGCAGCTATTCCTGCATGAGCAGAACAAAGCGGAAATGGTGTGTCGTGCATGTGGGGAAACTACAAGCTTACTTCAGGTACAGAGCAGACACTCTGAACGATACAGGTTCACCAGGGCCAGGTCCTGAAAGGGCTGCTGGCTGAGTAGGATTTGATCTTAAAGACGAGGGGGAGAGAGAGGGAGAGGAGAGAGAGAGGCAAAGCAGGAGACAGCAACAAGAGGAGTGTCACGGCAGTCAGGCAAGGTGGCAAAGGCCTGCAACTCACTGCGTCTCACCTTCTCCATCACACTCCATCTCTGCCCGGCCTGGGTCAGCAGCCAGAATCCCACGGCTTGGCACAAAGCGTACTTCTCCTAGCTTTAAGTGAACCGTGGCTCCTACCACACACCAGCCAAGGAGTACTGGGGCTGCACGGCGGCACACACCCTGCCCACATCCTCCCAGTGGGCAGGGACACAGGAATTGGGACCCCATGACTGAAAACTGAATCCATGGTGTTAAGAGTGGATTGTTGATTTGCTTTATGGAGATATAGTTTACACACCATAAAATTCACCCTGTAAAAGAGTACAACTCAATGAGTTTTAGCATAGTCATAGAAATTTGCAACCATTGCCAGTAGTTCTAGAACATTCTCACTACCCCCAACAGAAACCAGTGCATTACTAGTCCATCCACGTTCTCATCTTCTACCCGCTCCTGGCAACCACTCCTTACTGTGTCTCTGCAGCTTCATATATTGCTAGACGTTTCATGTAAGTGGAATCACAGTAGTGACCATTTCTTTTACTTAGCATAAATATTTTCAAGCTTCATTAACATAGTGTCTATCAATACTTCATTCCTCTTTATGGCTGAATAATATTCAATTACATTTTATTTATCCACTCATCAGAGGATGGACACGGGGTTCTTTCCATTTCGGGGCTATTAGGAATGATGCTGGTATAAGCATCACGCTCTTTGGGGTAGACAAATGGCTGATTCTATGGGAGTAGAAATGCTAGCGCATACAATGATTCTAGAACTTTTTGAGAAACGATCAGATTGTTTTCCAACGAACAATTTAGATTCCTGCTATCAACAAATGAGCACGTAGATTTCTTCACACTGTCATCATCTGGAATTGGAAAGTATGGGTTCTTCACCTTTGTTCTTTTTCAAGACTTTTTCTTTGGCTCCCCCAAGACTCCTGGATTTATAACATGAATTTTATACCTGACCTGTAAATGTCTGTAACAAGTCAGCTGTCTGTGGCTCACCCTTGTGGACTCAGGAGGCTGAAATCTAAGGATCACAGTGCAAAAGCCAGCCTGAACAGGAACATTCATGAGATTCTTATCTCCAATGAACCACCAAAAAAGCTGGAAGTAGAACTGTGGCTCAAGTGATAGAGAGCTAGCCTTGAGCAAAAGAAGCTCAAGAGACAGCACCCAGGCCCTGAGTTCAAGTTCTAGAACCAGCACACAAGAAAAGGATCTAAGCTTGGGCACTGGTGGCTCACACCTGTAATCCTAGCTATTCAGGTGGCTGAGATCCGAGGATCACGGTTTGAAGTCAGCCCAGGCAGGAAAGTCCGTGAGACTTTGATCTCCAGTTAACTACCAGAAAACCAGAAGTGGTGCCATGGCTCAAATGGTAGAGTACTTGCCTTGAGCTGAAGAGCTGAGGGACCACACCCAGGCCCAGAATTGAAGCCCCATGACTGACCAAAAAAAAAGGATCTATTACAAATTCAGTTGGAACTTTGACAAAGATTACATTAAATCTCTGTTGATAGTATTAAGATGGTATACTTCCATCTTAACAATATTAAGTCTGACCCAAAAGCATAAATAAAATGCATAAAATTAGGCATTTTAATTTTGTAGCTAATTTTTAATAACGTCACTAATTTCCATTTGTGTGGATTTTTTCTAAATTTCTTTTAGTAATACTTTATAATTTGCAGGGTATAAATGTTGTTTAATTAAATGTGCTCCTGAATATTCTTTTTGATATTACAAATAGAATTTTTTTTACTAGTTGTCATCAGCACATTATTTTTAGCCTGCAGAAAGTTTTTTTTTATTTCATTTTTGATTGATCATTGCTAATATATAGAAATGCAATCCTCCTCTAGTGAACTTTTATACTTTTTGTGATTATTTAGGTTTCTCAACACAGAAAATTATGCCATCTCTGAATAGATACAGTTTTAGTTACTCCTTTTGTTGTTGTTAGGTTGGTTTGTTATGGAGCTTGAACTCTGGGCCTGGGTGCTGTTTCTGAGCTTTTCAGCTCAAGGTGAGTGCTCAACCACTTGAGCCACAATACCACTTATTTCCAGTTTTCTGGTGGTTAATTGGAAATAAGAGTCTCATGGACTTTTCCTGCCTAGGCTGGCTTTGAACCTCAATCCTCAGATCTCAGCCTCCTGAGTAGGTAGGATTACAGGCATGAGCCACTGGGGCCCATTAATTCCTCATTTATAATCTGAATGCCTTCCTTTTTCTTTCCTTATTTCTTTTGCTAAAAGCTCAAGTACAAAATAAAATACAAGTGGAAAGAGCAGAAATTTTTGTTTTGTCCCTGATATTAGGAGGGAAACTCCAGTTTCTTATCATGTACAATGTTAGCTCTTGGCTTTACATAGATGTCTTTTATTAGACTGGGCATAGCCCCTTCTGTTCCCAGTCTGTTAGTTGAATGTTATCACGAAAAGGCATGGTATTTCATTAGCATGGTAGTTTACATTGGTTAATTTTCAGATGTTAAACCAACCTTGCATTCCTGGGAAGAGCCCACTTTATCATAATACATAATCCTTTGAAAATGTTTCTAGATTTGGTTTGCTAATATATTAGGAGGCTTTTTTTTTCTGGGCCTGATGCTTGAACTCAGGGCCTACCCACTGCCTCTGATCCTCTCTGTGCTCAAGGCTAGCACTCTACCACTTGAGCCACAGCACAACTTCTGGCTTTTTCTGAGCAGTTTATTGGAGATAAGAGTCTCACTGACTTTCCTGCCTGGGTTGGCTTCAAACTGTGATCCTCAGATCTCAGCCTCTTAAGTAGCTAGGATGACAGGTGTGAGCTGTTGGGAGGATTTTTGCATCTGCATTCAGAAGAGATAGTTTTCTCATAATGTCTTCTTCTGGCTTGTAGATCTATGTAACACTGAACACATAAAATTCAAAGTAGAAAACATTCCCTCCTCCTCTTCTGTTTTGTTGAAAAGAATTTGTAAAATGTTGGTGCTACTACCAATTTAAATGTCTTGTTGAATTCATTGGTGAAGGTATCTAATCCTGGGTTTTTCTTTGTATAAATTCTTTATTTACTTTCTTTTTTTTTCTTTTTTTTCTTTTTTTTTTTTTTGCTAGTCATGGGGCCTGAACTCTGGGCCTGTGTGCTGTACCTTAGCTCTTCAGCTCAAGGCTAGCACTCTACCACTGGAGCCATAGTACCACTTCCGGCTTTTTCTGCTTATGTGGTGCTGAGGAATCGAACCCAGGGCCTCATGAATGCCAGGCAAGCACTCTACCACTGAGCCACCTTCCCAGCCCCTACTTTCTTATTTTTGTGGTACCATGGGTTAAACCCAAGGACTTGAGCAGGCTAGGGAAGTATGCTACAACTGAGCCACACACCCAGCCTGAATTTACAGTTTCTTTGTAGGTACTTATACCATTTTAGTACTTTTTCAGCCCTAGCTATTTATTATTTTATTCAAGAAATATTGAGTATCTGTTCCATCTAGGTCCTGTTCTTGACACAGTGCTTATAGTAATGAGTAAAACAAAACTCTTGGCCTTTTGGAGCTTTACATTCTCTTATTGTTTCTCCCTCACTCTTTTGTGTGTGTGTGTCAGTTGTGGGGCTTGAACTCTGGGTCTGGGCGCTGTCTGGAGCTCTTCAGCTCAAGGCGAGCACTGTACCACTTGAGCCACAGTGCCACTTCTGGTTTTCTGGTAGTTCATTGGAGATAAGAGTGTCACAGACTTTCCTGCCCAGGCTGGCTTTGAACCGCAATCCTCAGATCTCAGCCTTCTGAGTAGCTAGGATTACATGCCTGAGCCACCAGTGCCCAGCTTCTCCCTTACTCTTATACTTTCTCTGTATGTGCATAGCTTTGTTCATTTAATGGTTCTGTTCTGTACAAAAATGTTACTACATGCATTGGCACAAAAAAGTAAATCCTTCGGTTTACTCTGTGTTTGTAGTTTGCAGATAAGGAACACCCTCCACCACTTGTCTCCCTGCTGGTCTCTGTCATTCCATTTGTTAAATGTTATTAGGACCCACCCCTAAGGACCTCCTCTTAATGAGATTACATTAAAAAAGATTATTTTCAAATAAGATCACGTTTTTGGGTGCCAGGGATTAAGGATACACCATAATTCAGTCCATAACAAAGCATTATGTTCTGACTCCCAAGCTCATACGTAAATACTTCATTATAACATGACTAATTTTAGTGACTTTTGTGGAATCTCCTGGCATATTTTACTTGTCTTTAAATGTTCTCTTTCCATTATATAAGTTACCCTAACATTTTCATAGAACCCACATGTTTTATTTCCTAAGCATAAATGTTAGATGGATACAATATATTTACATATTCATACACAAAGATATAATGCACACAAGCATATATAAGTATGTATATTATAACAGTTGCTAAGTGCAATACAATGTCGACTTGGAGCAATGTCAAAAGAACAAGATAATGGCTGTTGTGCCCCTGCATCATGGGCCCAGTTTTAATTCTGTTTTCAGTAATGCCCTCAAGTATTTTCTTGATCCACACAAGCTATTAGTTTCATTTTCTTCTTTCCTTAAAAATTATACAGGACAATCTAGAGCAGCCATGATCCCACCCAAGCACCCAAGGCAGCCCAAGGGGGCTTCAGATGACGCCATCACCTTTGGAGAGAAAGCAGAGCAAGAAGTCCTGAGCGCCTCCCAAGCCACGCCCCCCCCACTGCCAAAGAAGATGATCATCAGAGCCAACACCGAGCCCCTCTCCAGAGACCTCCAGAGAGCCATGGAGAGCAGCCTCTGTGTGGTGGCCAACCCTACCTATGACATTGATCCCAGCTGGGATGTCAGCAGCGCCGGCTCCTCCCTTAGCTGCGACCTCAAGGGTGGGGACGGGGGCTCCTGCAACTCTCTGGAGAGGCCTGTCCCTTCCACCGCAAACAGCATCTGCAGCTTCACCGCCCTCAGTGCTAAGGACAGATTCTCCAACAGCACAGAGTCCCTGTCCAGCCGCCGTGGCCCCTCCTGCAGACCGGCTCAGAACATCCAGAAGCCACAGAGACAAGCCCTTTACCGTGGCCTTGAAAACCGGGACGAAGTAGTGGGGAAAATCCGAAGCCTCCACACAGATGCCTTGAAGAAACTGGCCATGAAATGTGAGGACCTCTTCATGGCTGGCCAGAAAGACCAGCTCCAGTTTGGAGTAGACAGCTGGTCAGATTTCAGACTGACGAGTGACAAGCCATGCTGTGAGGCGGGCGACGCGGTGTACTACACTGCCTCCTATGCAAAGGACCCGCTCAACACCTACGCAGTGAAGGTAAGGAGACCCGCGAGCCTCGCCGTGGCTCCCGTTCCCTCTCACCCAGTCCTGCCCTTCTGTGTCCACTTATGGCAGCTGCTCTAGCAAACAGAAGGCTGATTTATTATTTACAGGAGAAACCAGACATGCAGAGACTGTGTACTGCATGCTAAGATAGAGGTAACCAGAAATTTTATGGGAGTCTAGAAGGGCCCCTCGACTAACTCAGACTCTGGGAATCAGAGAAATCTTCTTAAAGGAAGTAGCCCTTGAGCTGTGGTCTATAGAAATAAGATCTCTTATGTACTTTCCACGTCATGTGTCTATCCTTATTCTGTGTGTGCATGCACATGCGTGCATGTGAGTGCGCATTAATGCTGGTACTGGGGCCTGAGCTTTCTCACTCAAAGCTGACACTCTAACATTTGAACAGCTTCATTTCCAGCTTTGTGTGGTTAACTGAAGGTAAGAGTCTCAAGCCTTTCCTGCCCAGGCTAGCTTCCCACTGAGATCCTCAGATCGCAGCCTCCTGAGCAGCTAATATGACAGGCATGAGCCACTGACGCCAGCTTCTGTCTTTATTTGTTACCAAGTAAATGACCCTTGTCTTCTTCTGCTCTGTAATTTTCTGCTTCTTGGAGAAATATTTTTTATAGAAGGAAAGAATCTTTGTTGCTGTGTGAGAAATGTTATTTATATAACTAAATCTTCACATCACCTTTATGAAGCTAAGATCTTTTTCTCAACTTGACACATGAGGAAAGTGGAGCTCAGGAAAGTACATTATCTTGCTTAGGGTAGCACAGATAGCAAGTAGAAGAGCTGGAATTTGAACACATATCTCTGACTCTGTTGTCTGTTACATCATTTATTAATTTCTTACATGCCTGTAAGACTTCTCTGTCCAGGATCTTTTCTGTGGGATCGCTAACCCTCCAGATCTGTTTCCAGAACAGTTAGGTCAACAGTGGTGAACCACCAATGCCCAGCAAGATATCCAGAAGTGACACTCACTGTAATGTACCATTTCTTTAGATGGTACTAAGGGAAGCCAGTGCCAGGAATTCAGCAATCAGAAAGCCAAAACATGCCCCGGCACCCCACTGCAGCCAGAATTACTAGTCTTTACTTTATGGATCGTCTCAGTTGCTCAGGCTGCCATAACCAAGTCCCCACAGACTGGATAGCTTAAGCAACAGAGATGTCTCATGTTTCTGGAGGCTTGAAAGTCTCAACTGTGTTATAATCATGTGTGGCCTATGATGTCCAGGTGATCTGAGTCCGGATCTTGACTCTGCCTCTCAGTAGCTTTGTCAATAATGGCACCTATCTATCTGTGGGGTTTTTTGGGGTCAGAGAGAAGACAAGCCCTGCTGTGTTCATTTCTTACACTGTCCTTAGCTTCTTCCCTTTAAAAGAATAAAAACCTTTGGGCCTCACGGTCCAATACAACCATCATTCATACGTTCTACAGACTGGAGAAAGCATAAAGGGAAATTGTACACATGAACAGGTTTCCAAAAGCACAAAGCTTGTGGGGTACTGGTGGCTCACACCTGTTATCCTACTCAGGAAGCTGAGATCTGAGGATTCAGTGTCAAAGCCAGCCCCAGTAGACAAGTGCATGAAACTCTTATCCCCAGTGAACCAAAAAGCTAATAGTGGAGTGTATGGCTCAAGTGGTAGAGCACCAGCCCTTCGGGAGAAAGCTCTAAGGGACAGCGGGCTGTGAGTTCAAGCCCCAGTACCCAAGCCACAAAAGTTCCATATAAACTTAAGATGATATTATCTATCCCCCTGGTCCCCTTTTTACTGATTCTATTCACTGGTTCAAAACCAATTAACATATCTAAATGACTTTTACATGTTAATTTAGCTTGGAAAGTCCAGATGGTGTCTTAGTCAGTTAATGAATAAGGTACACAATTGGCCTTACCTGTCTGTCAGGACAGAATATATGTGTGCATCAGCCTGCACCCTCAGCCCCTAAACCACTTACCTTCTGTGGCAAAGTGACCCTGTGGCCCAGAACCCAGACCCAACTCTGTTTATTACTATTGAGCCTAGAAAGGCATCTGGAGATTGTCTGCAGCACCCGGGAGCTATTATTTCATCCGGGGTTATGGCGTCTTATCCATCTTGACACTTTATTACTACAGGTTCCCCGATGCAGGACGAGTTCCTAGTTCAGGCAGGGCCATAGAACTGTCTGTTCTTTCAAAACAATTGAGAAGTAGGGCTTGACTAACTTTATGTATTATTGCCATGCAATCTTGTCTCCTTCTTAAATCAATGGTTGGGTATTGATTTCCTTGCGTGTAATGATGCACAAGCAATCTCAAAGGAACAGGTGGCCAGTGATTATATACTGGGAGCTGTTGCCAGGTTTGGGAGAGAGGATGTGTTACACTAAATGCTGAATATAAATGTCTCTTTGAAGACCCTCTGGGCGTTTCCAGAAGTGCCCAATTGATTGCACAACCTTAAAGGGATGAACTACAAGGATTCAGAACTCTAGGCGAGCTAAGCCAAGGAGTCCAGCAGGCAGGCCTCTATAAACAACTCTTGTTACTATCTTCTTAAAATATCCCTTCCCGTGCCCAGGCAATTTGGAGTCCACTAATAGGTATGACCATCTCTTCAGATGTGGCTAAAAGAAGCCAGGGCCAGAACTTAGCAATGCAAAAGCCAAAGGATACGTGCCCTACCAAACCCACAGCAGCCTTTATTTTGTGGGGGGATGGTGTTCATTGTTGAGGCTTCCATAACAAAGGACTATAGGCTGGAAACTTTAAACCACACACAGACAGTGATTTCCTCATGTTTCTGAGAAGTTGAGGTTCTGACTCGCTTAGTTTCTGGGTGAGGGTTCTTTCCAGTTTGTAGACAACCAGTACCTTCTTTCTTTATATCCTCACTTGTGATGAGAGAGAGAGAGAGAGAGAGAGAGAGAGAGAGAGAGAGAGCGTGTGCTCAAGAAGGAACAGATGCTCTGGTGCCCCTTCTTGGAATGACAGCATTAGCACTCCTGTCATATCTGGGCCCAAACCTTATGACTTCATTTCATCTTAATCATCTCTTTGAAGGCTCTGTCTCCAAATACAATCATACTGTAAGTTAGGAGGACCTCCATCTATGAACTGGAATGGGGGACACAAATTTAAAAGGCTATGGAATCGCTGGGCATTTGCTTGATGATTCACACTTATAAATCCTAGCTACTCAGAAGGTTGAAATCTGAAGATCACAATTCAAGGCCAGCCTGGGCAGGAAAATTTGTAACACTCTTATCTTCAATTAAATACCAAAAGGCCTGAAATGGAGCTATGGCTGGAAGTGGTAAAGTGTTGACCTTAAGCGCAAAAGCTGAGGGAAAGCACCCAGACTCTGTGTTCTAGCCACAGGACCAGTACCAAAAAAAAGTTCATGGAATCAGCCTTCCTCTTCCAAATTCATGTTCTTGTCGCATGCAAAATAAGTCCTAACATCCTCAAAAATTCTAACTGCAGAATGAACTCTAAAGACCACAACCAAAGTCTCATCTAAATATCATCTAAATCAGATATGGATGTGACTCAAGTTCCTATGGCAACCTTCTTCTCTAGCTGGGAACCTGTGAACAGTTCTGTGCTTTCAAAATACAGTTCTGAACAGGCACATGACAGACATCTCCACTCCAAAAGGGAGAGATTATATCTTAAGACTCAGAATAATTCTTCACCAGGCACCAATGGCTCACACCTGTAATCCAAGAGGCCAAGAGCTAAGGATCAGAGTTTGAAGCCAGCCTGTGCAGAAAAGTCCATGAGACTCTTATCTCCAAGATGTAGAGGTATGGCTCAAGTGGTAGTGCACCAGCCTTGAGAAGAAAAGCTAAGGGCCAATACCCAGGCTCTGGGTTTAAGCTCTAGTGCGCTTTCTCTCTCCCTCTCCCTCTCGCTCTCCCTCTCTCTCTCTCTCACACACACACACACACAATCATAATTCTCTTTGATTTGGTACTCTGCTCTCCAGGCCCACTAGAGTGACAGCATCAGTCATGTGACAGTGGAAGATGGCTCTCCTGCCTGGCACCCTGGCCCTCCAGAGCTAGAGAAGCAGAGTTGGAGGAGGAACCGGCCTTGTCCACTGGACCTGTGATGGGGAAAGCACCACTCAGGGCCATTCTCACCTCACATTCACCCATAAACAGCCATCCCATCCATAGAATCCACTTTCCCGGTCCCTTTAGATCTGATTGGCTGGATGTTGGCTACTGAGGCAATCCCACTCCACTTCCACAAGACAGCAGATAAGATTCTGGAGTCTCTCCATCAAATGGTTATTTGTCAAGAACAAGCTTTCCCATCCTTTGCCATGTAGATAGGCAGAATCTTGCCTGTCTCGGGTTGTGGTTACTTTTTGCTTAACAATTCCCTCTTCAGCTCATCTTTAGGGAACTGGGGACCCCTGCAATGCTTGGCTGGGAATTCTCATCCAGAAATCCATCTTTATCCTCTGGCAAGTTCTGCTTTCACAAAACACTACAACACAGTTTGGCTGAATTCTTTGCCACTTGCTGGCAAGGATCTCCTTGCTTCCAGTTCCTCATTTCCAACAGAGACTTCACCTGAATCTCCATTGCATCCGTCTGTTCTCAGAACCTGGTTTTCTCAAAATTCCTCCCAGAGCCAGACACGGGCAGCTCACGCCTGTCATCCTAGCTACTCAGGAGGCTGAGATCTGCGGTTCGTGGCCCAAAGTCAGCCTAGGGAGGAGAGTCTGCAAGACTCTCATCTCCAACTAACCACCAAAAAGCCATAGAGGTAAAGCCGTGCCTCGAAGGAGTAGAGTGCCAGCCTTGAACACAAAAGCTCAGGGATAGTGCCCAGACCCTGAGTTCAAGCCCCAGGACCAGTACACACACACACACAAACATACACACACACACACAAACACGCACACACACAAACACGCACACACACACACACACCAAAACAAACAAACAACTCCAGCCTCCCCTCAGTTCCAAAGTGGCT